GTGCCAATTCCAAGCTGATGAATAGCACTAATCGTTAAGTCCTTAAGTCCTTAATCGCTCACATTTGGGAATACTAAAGTTATGCTTTATTCAGTCTTATTGAATTGGAGACATTTTCGAATGTTTCCAATATCAAATTAGTAGCCTCATTCATTTATTTTTTTAATATTTGGTTAGCATTTTATTAGGCATTTGGATCGAAGTGAAGAAAGCTGTTAAATAGCAAGAAGCACAATTAATCAAAATAATAGCTGATTACATTTCTGGTTTATTCAACTACAACATATAAGAGATTTGCTTATTTTACCTTATTGAATTTTATTTTAGATTTATATTTTTCGCTTTTTTTTCTCCCACTTGTTTATTATAGGCGTATGTCCATCTGGCGGTGTATCCTTTCATGTGTTTAACGAAGCTCTAAGTCTTGTTAAAGCTTTGCCCGGAATCAATTCTGAGAAGACCAAATTTAGAGTCTTTATATGCGCTTTGCTTAAGTAAGTTATCCCGTCCCCCCATACATACATATATATATACATATATATGCTTGTATATGCGTTTCTTTTCATCTCTAACTTATTTATACTTTTGTCCATTCCTTCAAACTATATCTAAACAAATTAATATTCGCAAACATGCACATTTACATCAATGCCACTCTTCAGCCTGAAGGCTCTGCCAATGTGGTTGAATACAATTGTGGTCAATGAGACTCTGCTCAAGCGCTACTACTGTGAAGATGCATTCGTCCGCCAATGTCGATCAGGTGGGCAGCGTGGCCTACATGCCGATTTAATGACACACCTTGAGCAGCTTCTCGTTTTCCCCTTCCATATCGATCTAGCCCAAGAAGCTCGTCGGGCTTCGATTGAGGCTAACGGGATTGGGTCCACTACTGGCGCTAACCCAGTTAATGGGGTCCAACATTCTCAGAGGTCCAATCAAAATCAACATCGACATTCAAACAAACACCACCAAGCCTCTCATGGACAAACACAGAAACCAAAACCAGTCCCAAAGCGAACGCACCAGACGCGACCAACGGTACTGCAGTCCCCACGGTTACATAGCGCCACCGTTGTGGCTCTTCCTAACCAGCCTCCACCCCCTGGGGCCCCAGCTGGCCAGCAGGTGATGACGTCCGAGCAGCCTCATACACAGGCGTTGACATCCCACGTAGTTCTGCCTAATAGCTATCTGCCATTGAAAGCGAAGCATGACATAAAGGGTCTTTCTCATACTCAGGTGAGTTAACCTCTTCTTTCTCATCTTAATACTGTGCTATGTCTATTTTTTTAGAAAGTTGGTTTTCGAGACTACCAGTAAATCAGATTTATTAGTTGCGTTCACCCTATTTCGTTTAAGATGATGGACTGGTAGTTGAATTTTTCCACAATGATATGAGTAGAACTGACATTTCCATTGAATTTCACATAGCCTTGCTTTCCCAAAAGGTGTTCT